AACCGTTCTGTGGGGGCTATACAAAGACATGGACCTGCATAATTTTTTCTCATAGGTTGTTGTACCGGTTCCGAACTTTAAATACGAAATTTGAAACAATTCCGTTGAATAATTGTGCTAGTATCTTCAAAATACCGAATAAAGGGAGATACCGTTATATGATGGATATACAACATCGTGGACCTATATAGACAATTCTCTTTCAGGTAGTAAAGTACTCAAAAGGAACTCCTTGTGTGGAATTTCAGACAATTGAAGCGATTTTCACCAAATTTGAAATAATTCCATCTATGCTATATTTGGTCGGATATGCCGAAACACGTCCTATTACGAATATTACAGATATGACGGTCAATAATATTTAAATCGGACGAAGATATATATGGATGATATATATGGGGGTTATATCAAAATTTGGACCGATTCTCACCAATTTTGTTCTCAAAAATACATGGACAGATGGACTGACACGCTTAAATCGACTCGGAAATAGATCATTTTCCGAAATAGATCTCTTCCTTCTCCATGTTACAAACAAATGCACAAAGACATAATACCCTAGTTATTAATTCGTCTCGAACAAGTCATAATCCTGTGTTAATATTTATGATCAAAATCATTATTTAAAATTTGGGATATAATAAAAACTTGAAGAAAACGAACTTAGATTTCCACATTAAGGGATGTTGGTTTTTTGTTGGGGAGATGTCCGAAGGAGTGCATCATATGTTACCAGGGTCAAATTTATCCCCAGCCTTTTCTAGTTACTTATTTGTTTTTCAAAAGTGTTCTCGTTGCCCTTAATATTATTCTCATGAAATTTAGCTCCAAGCTCTCTATGACACTATGTCCAAGACTCTTTACACAAATCCAACAAAACTTATTTTTTTCTACTGAAGACCCAACAATCTCAATTCCCTTAAAATCATGGCAACCCTAACTCAGAAATCCACAAAAAAATTGACGACAACGACATCATGAAACAACGGAAAAATAGAAATGAAGCAAAAAAGAGAACCAAGAATTCAAAAGAAAAAAAAACACAGAAATCTAAACGCATTTATTGTTGTTATCATTCCAACGGCATGTTTGCAATCAACCCGGTAGCACCAACTTACCTACCTATCCACCTACCTACCTTTCTACCTTAACGTTTAAGTTTCCCCGATTGATGGGTGGAGGCACTCCAACTACCACTTACTTTGCCTGCCACGAGAGGGAAATTCCCCAAGTGACTATAACCGTGGCACATAGCCAGCCATACAAATAGTTATTACCGGCACCTGTGCAAAAGATTGCAAGTAGTGCGTGGAAAGTGTTTGGTTGGTTGGAAGACGATTTGAGGAGCAGCATGAATTGTGGTCCTGGCTGATTTTTTTTTCACTCGCTCTCTGACAAGAGTTCATTTTTTATGTATGCAAATTGCATGAACCACCCAACCATCCAAGCAACCTGTGTTACAACCTCAAGCCGGGGTGTGTGGGAGTGTAGCGTTATGCTCAGCTTTATGAGATTGTATTTGTAGAGACATTGTGCACAAGGATTGCGGTGGCGTTTTTATGCTGAAATCAACGCTTGTCCTTGTATTTTAATAACACAATGAAACAACAACAACAAAAAAGAAGAAATGAAATGACATAAAACAGAGGCAATTTGCCGTGTGGAATTTAATATTTAAGTGTAATGGAAGATTCCTTTGCATCAGTTTGGAAGTGAGGTTGGTTGGTTCTGTTTTGCTATTCGCAGGTCTTGGGGTTATGTTCACTTTAGGAGGGTTTTGTTTTATGAAATTGTAAAATTTTTCGGTGAAAATTTTATGAATTTTAAGATTTCTTTTGAAGTGATGGATCTTTGGAACTGAAAACCGGTCCGCAATGCATAAATTTTAGAATTTTTTTTTTGGAAATTTCGGTATGATTTTTTCTATTGAATCAAAATTTTGGAAAATAAACAAGAAAAAAGGCAGTGAAGATTAGCCGTGCTGAGTTTTTTCATTTTATTAGGAACTTGCAAAACCAAATTAAAAAAGTTGAATAATGCATATAAATTGATAAAAGTGCCAAATATTGGTGGTGATAATTTGCTTAGAGGTATTACCAACTTGAAAACATTCTTATAAAAAATTTTTCTAAAATCCAACCCATTGCCAAAACAAATACCGAACTTCATTGAACAAATCTGGCAGAAAACGGGCTTAAATTGTCAATACAGGAAAGTTTGGACCTATGCAGACAATGTTATGTCACCAGATGTTAATATCATCCAAATACCGAATATGGGGAGGTAGGTTAATATGAGATCTATAGGCAAGTAAGGGCCTATATGTATACAATTTTCTGCTAACGTAGTTGGTACCTCCATATCTGAATTCCAGATATGAACAGTGACATATGTGTCAAATTTCAGATTTTCTGTTCTATATCTTCACCCAATGGGTAAGGGTAAGGGTAAGGTTTTGTTAAAGGTACCCGGAGACCTGCTGGCCCCTTGTGTTCATCCTAAATGAATAGAGTAGAAAGAAATTTTGGTGGAAAAGTGGAGATGTTATAAATAGTAATTAAAGTGTTAAGGGTAATCCAGGACTAGATTTTTTTTCATGTCGTCTTTAACCACTTAAGTCTTCTGGCTAATTAAAGAATTAGTGTAGGGTCAGTGTTAGAGAACGAAAACAAATCGTGTGATAGTTGTTCCCCCACTAACCTGTGTCTTACGTTAATGAGTGCTGGGCAGTGGCAGATCGTCGTTCGATCGTCGCAATTTCTTTCTCGTCTTGACAGATTTTATAATAATCAATATCATCGCTATTCCATTTCGAGGTCATTGCCCTCATCTTACAGTGACCTGTGATGATACTCATCACAAGGTTCAAATCAGGTTTCGACAAGGACAGTAGCGACTTTTTTCTCTTCTGGGATTTAGAATCTTGGAGATACTAAATCCCAGCACTAGACCTTATGGTAAAGGAGTCTAAAGCTTTCAGTGCCGCTTGGCTATCGACAAATATAGTCACCAGACCGTTAACCTCTGCTGTTTTGACCGCAAAGATTTGCCCCTGGAATCCGCTACAGTCGTTTCTGACCTTGTAGGATTTACGAACATTAAAAGTGTCACAGAAGACACCAGCTCCCGTTCCGCATTCTATCTTTGAAACGTCACTATAAACAACTACGCCGCAGAAAGGTGGATTGCTAAGGGCCCTGGTATCCCTGTCATGTATGTGGATGTTAGGTGGGTCAAATCTCAACCATGATGAAATTAAATAACTGTGTTGGCTTCCACTCCCACGTTCCTTACACGCCCTAAGATCGCAGAATGTCCAAAGGATTGACTGTGCCATTGATTTAGTTCTCTGAATCGAAGAGCACACCTAATCGCCTGTTCCTCTACGTGTATGCGTAGTGGACTTAAGTACAATAGGGTGTCAAGTACAGCCTGAGGTGTGTTCTTGAAGGCACCTGTTATTAGTAGGGATGCAGCTCTTTTAACTTTGTCAATGCAACGTAATTAGGATGACTTATTAAAGGAATGCCACCAGACTAGGATGGGATATTGCGAACAATTGACTCTCACCCAATACTAAATTTAGTACCATTTAGTACTATGCGTACAATTATAGTACATATTTCCAAAACCACCGCCAAATCTCAAACACAGATACCATCAATAATCTAAATATCAAATTTCAAAATTTTATCTCTATCCCTTCACCCAATACCAAATATAGTACCATTGAGTACTTTTCGTACAATTAAAGTACACATTTCCCAAACCACCTTCATATGTCAAGACTACACATGAACATCGACTCTGATACTAAATTTCAGATTTCAAGCCATATCTGTTCGCCCAATACAAAATTTTACCAAATTTAGTACTATTTAGTACTTTTTGTGCACTTGTAGTACACATCTCCAAAACCCTCCCTTAATTACAAACCTACCACCAACAGGAACCCCAATAAAAGATGTCAAAATTCCAGCTTCATCCGTTCACCGTAAACCAATCTATCCTATCCAAATTTAGTACCATTTAAGAAGTTTAGTACACACTCAGTACATATTTCCAAAACCACCTTTATATATCAAACATACTTTCCCACTTTGATTCTCATACCAAATTTCAAGTTTTTAACTCATAATACCAAATGGTACCATTTTAAAAGTTTTGTATCATTTTAGAAATTTTCGTATCTTAAAGTTTGAATCTCCAAGAACAGTTTGATACATCTATTCTGAACTCTATCAGTGACTCTAATTCCAAATTCACTCATTCCGGAGTTCTAGTTCATTCTGTGTGTCCTTGTAGTACAAATTTCCAAAAATCCCCCGTTTCGTCTGGGCGTTGATTGTCGACCAGTCAGTCGATTTTTTCACTCTACAATGAGCAGAATGACAAAATTTAAAATGTCCTTATTTTTATAGTTTTTCCTCCTATGAAAATAAAATACCGTAAATGTTCTCTGACAATGTCTTAGACAAACCTTAAACCAGGGTTTTCTGTAAAAACGGATTGAAATTAAGACCAGGCAATAACCTTCCATTCCAATCTTTGAAGTGTTCATATAATTTTGTGTTTTAACGAATCTTTAATGTCGCGCCGTGTACCGCATGCCTCCTTTTCAAAAAACCTCCTTTGTTCTTTGGAAAAATGCAATTTCATTGCAAACAACTTTCGCCATTATTCATGTTGCGCTGCAAATTTCGACAAGGAAGAAGGAAAGTACCAATAACTCACTGAAAATACAACCGATTGTTGTTTTCCTTTTGTCCTATCAAGAAACTTCGTTTTTGGTTTCATTGAACATTTCCTCAATTATTTGCATTTCATTAGCATTTTTATCGAATCGAAGGAATACCACACCCACACTCCTCTTCTCTTCAGAAATTTCCTGAGTGCCTTTATTATGTCCCTGTGCTTCTTCGGAAATATTATGCTTATTTGTTTTCCTTTAATTAATCAATTTCCTTTTGTGTTGTGTTTTTTGCTCATTTTCTTTTTAGGCTCTTACCAAATATCAGACCTCGCAAAAAGTCACAACTAAAACTGGCATTGAGCAGGAGGAGACACTGCTCAATGAGTCGGCCGCAAGGGAGACATCATTAAATTTACAAATTTTAGAATTAGAAAATGAGGTGAAACAATTGCGTCATGAATTGGAACGTGTGCGCAATGAACGTGATCGCATGTTGCAGGAGAACTCCGATATCGGGCGCGACAAGTCCGATAACGAGGCGGAGAAGTTGCGTCTTAAAGCTGAGCTTAAGGAACTTAAATTCCGTGAAACAAGAATGCTTACGGAATATTCGGAGTTGGAGGAGGAGAACATTACGCTGCAAAAGCAGGTCTCAAGTTTACGAAGTTCACAGGTGAGTAACACACATTGAATTGTTGGAACTTTTAATCCTAACGTTATTCTTATTTCCAGGTTGAATTTGAAGGTGCCAAACATGAAATACGTCGTCTGACCGAAGAATTGGAATTACTAAATCAACAAGTTGATGAACTGGCGAATTTAAAGAAGATCGCCGAAAAGCAAATGGAAGAAGCCTTAGAAACACTGCAGGGTGAACGCGAAGCCAAATACGCTCTCAAAAAGGAACTAGACAGCCATTTGAATCGCGAATCCATGTATCACATAAGCAATCTGGCCTACAACATCAGAGGTACCATCTGCGATGACAACACCAGTGCCAACAGTGACGGAGAAGATGACAATCTGGCCTTGAAACGATTCGAAGCCAATTTGTCAACGGAGCTCAAATCACCGGATGGCACGAAATGTGATCTCTTCTCTGAAATTCATTTGAATGAATTGAAGAAACTCGAAAAACAACTCGAAGCCATGGAGAATGAAAAGACCCATTTGACGGCCAATTTACGTGAGGCCCAAACGAGCCTGGATAAATCACAAAATGAACTGCAAAACTTCATGGCACGTCTGGCCATTTTGGCAGCTCACGTGGATGCACTGATGCAACTGAAAAAGCAATACGACAACAAGGAAGATTCACAAGAGGCTATTAAACAACAACAAAATGAGGAAAACCTCAAACAGCAACTACGTGATACTCTGTCCAAATACAGTAATTGGTTTACTTTGTCCGCCAAGGAAATCGATGGTCTCAAGACTGATTTGAATGAACTGCAGAAGGGTTTGAACTACACCGATGCCATGACATCGCTGCGTAACGAAATAACCAATCTGAAAAATAAACTCATGTCGACAGAACAGAAATCTCTCGACTTGCAAAGTGATGTCCAGACATTGACAAATATTTCACAAAATGCCGGCCAAAGTTTGGGCTCAGCTCGTTCGACACTGGTGGCATTGAGTGATGATTTGGCCCAGCTGTATCATCTGGTGTGCACGGTGAATGGTGAAATGCCCACAAGAGTATTATTGGACCACAAGAGTGACGATATGAGGTAAAAATATTTCAATAATCTGCAATAAAATGTAGTGGATAGTTTTAATTGGTTTTTTTTTATTTGCAGCTTTGAAAATGATTCACTGACCGCCATACAGTCACAATTCAAATCAGATGTACTCATATCGAAACCACAAATTATCGAAGACCTGCAGGGATTGGCTGATTCAGTGGAAATCAAGAAATATGTTGATACTGTATCGGATCAAATTAAATATCTGAAGACCGCAGTTGAACATACCATTGAGCTTAATAAGAATAAAGTTCGCGGTGATGTTTCCGATGGTATGTTAATTATTCATTTGTTTTAAATATTGTAAACGACCAGAACCACGATAAACTTTTAAAGTTTATTCTTTTATAATCCTATGAAAATATGATTTATAGTACCTGTCGTATCTTGGACACTGAAAAGAAGCTTAAATTAGGAGAATAGTAGAGAACATAAAGTTTAGAGGTAGAATAAGATGTCATTTAGAGCCCCTACAATTTTCAAATTATAGTGTCCACTATTGACAACGTCTATTAAAGAATCATGCTAAAATGGCAACAAAACTAGGCGACTATTTAAGTTTAGTTTTACCTTTGATTTTTCATTACTTAGCCTACAATATTCAACACCATTTTCTTCCCTATCGATGTTATTGATTATGTCCTAGCTCTTGATTAATTGGAAATGTGAAAAAATCCCACGCCAGTTAAGAGATAATGTGCAACTGGAACAAATAATTCACCAGGCCATACAATCTACGAAGTGACTCATAGATAGGATAATTAAGTCGTCTATTAAGATTCATTCAATCTACAAAGTGACTCATAGATAGGATAATTAAGTCGTCTGTTTAGAAAAAACACTAGTTCCGAACTTTCCGGAAGATTAAGTTCGTAGAGGAAGCTTTTGCCGACGTTGTTTCCAAATTCCAAGGCAACATCATGGTGGAAAATGTTATATACGGTTATCAAACTTTTCATATCGAAAAACTGCCCAGATCTCCCAGAGTTTCCTCGTAAAACCGATGAAGATTGAATGCAATAAAATATATACATGAATTTACTGCCGGTTATCCATCAAAGAGTTTTTTTTTTTGATCTTTAGAAAAATATAACTCCCTTTTAATCCTTTAAAGTTGACATACATTAATAAAGAATTAGCAATTTGTTTTAATCTCTTTCTCTTACGTTTTTCAGGTGATAAATACAATCGCGAAGAAGTCGAAGAACTACAAGAACAGATCATCAAACTCAAGAGTTTGTTGTCTACGAAACGTGAGCAAATCGCCACCCTGCGTACTGTGCTCAAATCCAACAAGCAGACTGCTGAAGTTGCTCTCGCCAACCTCAAATCCAAATATGAAAATGAGAAGATGGTCGTAAGCGAGACAATGTCCAAACTGAGAAATGAATTGAAAATTCTCAAAGAGGATGCGGCAACATTCTCAAGTAAGGCCATCAAATTGTAATGATTTAGAATATTTGGTACTGATTTGATTTCTTCTTTCTTTTCAAGGTTTGCGTGCAATGTTTGCTGCCCGTTGTGAAGAATATGTCACACAAGTTGACGATCTTAATCGTCAATTGGAAGCTGCCGAAGAAGAGAAGAAAACTCTTAATCAACTCCTGCGTTTGGCCGTTCAGCAAAAATTGAATTTAACTCAAAAGTTGGAAGAAATCGAAATGGATCGGTGGGTTCATTTGGGTCGTTAATAGTTTTAAAGAAGAAAAAACAAACTTATCGATCGATTTTTCTTCAACAAAGTTTTTTGGTTCATAAATCCCACGTTTTTGTATTTGTTTTAAAAAGTTCCTTCACATAACGTAGCATTGAGTTGAAATGTTTCTAGTCTCTTTCTTTTTTGGTTATTTTATTATTGACATCACATCATTAGTCAAGAGTTTTCTACTTGAACGACCACCCACCCACCATTGCATTCATTACTGTTATTTATCTCAAGTTTCCGCCCCCTCACTATCCAATGATTTCTCCACATCTTTTTGGTGTTTGTTGTGTGTGTGTGTGGTCATTATTACATTCAATTTTTTTTTTCTCAAAAGAGTTATATTTGCGTAACGTGTGTTTTCTGTTTTATTACCATGCAGTGGTTTTATTTTATCATTGGTAAGCGTTGACCATTTTAAAAGCTTGTTTATTTTTCTGTCTGTTTGTTCATTTATATATATATGTTTGCCTACACATACATACTTCAGCTTACATTACCATACTACATAAATATACACAACAGCATACCAATTACATGTCCATTAATTTCCACCCGCCCCCAGAATCATTATATTTTTTACTCCCGCTCATTCTATGGCTATGTATTTAGATGCAATAAAATGCCATTTTTTGTATATATGAACACGTATAAATATACTTATGTATATATTTGAATGCAATTCATCATTCTGCTTAAATAATACAACAAAGGGAGCCCCCACTCAGGGTATAGGAAATGAAATTATTCTTTTGAATTTACATTACATTATTGATTTTATCATTTTCATTTAGCACCACATCCTACATTTTAAATATGTATATATTTTTATACATTATATTTTAGTATTACATGCTGCTTTTATTGTTATAGTTTATAATGCATGATTTGTTTCCTTACGTATACCCCTTATAAGGAATAATATTCAAAGTAATTGTCATACACTGCATAAGAATTTGAATCTGTATTTAATCTCAATTAAATGACCCATTTTTTACGTTTCTTGGAATTTGAAATTGTGTTTAAGAGATAGTATCTTCATTTTTTCGAGACCTTTCGTGAGACAACCTTTTGAAACTGTTACAAAGTGTAGATTAATATTAAAAAATTAAAATTAAAAAAAAATTGGATAGCAATCCTTAAAATCAGTTTAAAAAGCTTCAGAATGAAGTCCTTTTATTATCTTCCTCCATATTTTTGGGTTTATTGAACAACAGCATACTTTTACAATTCATTTTCTCGTAGAAGTGATCCAAACTATCCAAAGAAGATCAATTTATAGATTGGTATACTATTTATCACTTCGATGAAACGAAATAGTTTAACTTCAATTTCATCCTTTTATTTGCTCTAACATTATTAGGTCGTTTCTTATGTTGGTTTATAGTATTTGACTGAGAAAGAGTTTCGAAGACAAATTTAATGTTTGTTCTGTTATATACAGTATGGGTATTTACCAGTCTAGACTATGATATTAGAACAAATGTTCGACCGTTTCTGTCTTTTCCTCATCCTGATGGAGGCTGTAGCAGTAGATGTTGTTATAACTGCTTTACATGTTTTGTTTGATTTCTGCTAATCCGGCTTATTTCGTGGGCTGTAGCCATAGATAATCTAGAGGTAGTGGGATAGCTTTGCCAGGAGAATTAAAGACCGCACCATCCTGAACGTAATTGCGTCAAAACTGCAATTTAAGGGGAGGATGTGGACTCCGAGGACGGCATTCACACTGTAATTGTTGATGACATCTGTGACTGTACCAATATGAATGCCACTCAGACCTGCCTGATAGACTTTTTGGACTCATTGGACCTAGATCTTGTATCTCCTCCCTGATCCGCTTGGCTGAAGGGAGTTTTATCCAGCATATGATGGTTTGGATGACTCCCATGATAATACCCAAGCAGGTACTTCAACGAGAGCATATGGTTATGCTGACATACAGGAAGTCTTTCACCTCCTCATGTAGATGGTCCACTAGTGTCATGAGGCTGGTCTGGCAGATCTGGATGTTCTTCCACTGCGTAACACTTATATTCGCAGACCACAATGGGACCGCATAGCTGACCACAGACCGGCCTATAGCGTTATAAGAGATCAACACAGTCTCCTTTTCCGCAACCAAAATCTTGCCGACTAGTGCCTTGAGGACCTGTTCCTTCTTTTCATTCTCTCACTCATGTCGCATATAGCTGTTGCTTGCGCGGACGACTTGAACATGCTTTCGAATGTGACGCCTAGGATCTTGAGGCAGACCATTTAGTAAAGAGTGTGACCGTTGATTTAATGACGGATATTTTCATATTCCTTTCGTGGAAGAAAGTAGGCGGCGAGCTCCACGAAACATATTTCATTAACACCGGTCGGACGCCATGATCGTACAATCATCCGCATACGTTACGAACTCTACTGTCTGAAGGGCGAGGATTTCCGGAATGGTAGAGATTAAACAGTTCCGAAGATCTCACCCGATTTTGGGGAACTCCCTGATTCACTCTACAGAGTTTGAACTTCTTGTGGCTTCCAAACATAAAGTTGATTATCCAACGTTGCAAACTTGGCCGGAGGGTAGTCCCCCATACATCCTCAAACCGTGTGGCGTGGTTGACTATGAAATCTATGACACGACTTGTTCTGGTTCAATCCTCGACTAATATGTTTGGACATGGCGTGTAGTGCTCTTGTGGTTCTGTGTTGTGGATGGAATCCGTTTTGATGGTTGGCAACAGGATAGCTTTCTCTGATACTGGCCTCGAAGGTCTTTGCTACTGGCGACAAAAGCGGAATTGGCCTGTATGATTCGCCTTTGCTGGCATTCTTGCCTAGCTTCAATATCGGAACTACCCAGCCCATTTTCCTGGTTTCGGGAACGATGTGAGCGACTAGCGACAGGTTGAAAACTTTTGTCTGCAGTAGTAAGTGTCGTCGTCGTTCCACTTGGCAGTGACCTCTTTTGATTTCTACCACAATTTAAGACTAGGTATCCCAATGGAGATAAGTGACCTTGATCTCCCCTGTTAGTTTCATTTGTCGGGAAAACTTTGATTTTTGTTAATTTTACAGGTATACTGTTTTAGAGTGAGCTGACTGAGTAAAGCTGTGCCTACCTAGAAACGAATACTTTTTCAAAAGTTTAATTTTGATTACAGTACTATGACCTATGACCATTTGTTTAATGGGGCTAATAAGCACCGTGAATCACATACTTCTTTATGATCGATTTCCTCAACTCAAGATTTCGAAGTGCATTTATTACAACAATATGTGAAATAAAAAGGGGCTATAACCATCATGATTTTAATTGATGCAACCCCCACAGTTTTTTTGTTTTTTAATTCTAATACAGGCTTATATCACCAATGTAAATATATATCTATTCAAATTTCTATTGAGTGTTTTCAATTACTTTGGGTTATTAAATTATCACGTACTTGAGCTATGTCTTATTAATATTTCAAACCTTCGTATCTTTGCAGAGAAATGCGTCACGCTCGCCGTCCCATGCCACCACAGCGCGGTACTGGCGGCAGATCATCCTTTTCATCACGGCCCTCGACAAGAAATCCGGCAAATAACAATCCTAATAACTTCTAACATAAAATCAGCGTGCAGCGTAAACTTTTAGCTTTAGTTTATACTCTACTTAAGTTATAAATCTAATTTAATACAACAACAACAACTACAACACCACTACTAAACTAACACATGAGAAATTAATATAATTTGTTGTCGCTATCTACGACTATAATTTTAATTTCAATTCCTATGCAATTGTTTAACCATCTCCTTTTGTATTCTATTATTTTTTCTTTTCATTGGTATTCTTCTTTTGTTTTGTTAAGTTTATTATGTATTTTGTATTGTATTTTATATGATAATTTTTCCTTTGGTTGATGGGTATTATTTTTGAAAGTTTAATTTAAAAAATAAATTAACTTAGTTAGACAAAAGAAAAAAAATTATAAAAATAAATTACGCAAAATTTCCCTAATTCCAGCAACTGCCCACATGAAAGTTGCAATGGGGAGGATTTTGCCGAAACCCCTAGAACATGTATTATTTTTGAAAACACAAAAAGAAATCATGGAAAATTTGATCCTATTTTTTTCTCCACATTCTTATAAATGTATCTTTTTTGTTGTATTCATATTAACACAGCTACACACACACACCCACAAAAAGCTAAAACGAAACTATTTTATAAATTTATTACAACAACAACTGCAACTTTTTGTGTAATTTATATAATGTATTAATTATTATTATACAAGAAAACAACAACTGGAAACATTTATTATTGTTATACAAAAAAATAACAACAGCAACAGATATTTATTTAAACCTGATTTAATCAATTTCAAATTTATAGAAGAAAAACAAATGTTTATAATTAATACGGTTTGTTACTTACCACACACACGTCCATTTAATGCAATTGAAACAAAGTAAAAAACATGAAAAAGAAAATTATTATATTTATATATTTACTAAAGAAATTAAATGCAATCAAGTTTTCTTTAAGAACAACTTTCTGTATTGATTTTTTTTCTAGAAAAAAAAACAAACTTGCAAACACAACACACCCACTCGAGTTATTATTTGTTTTTGAAATTATTAATGTTACTTCCATTGGCCTTAGTTGACACTATGCTTGGATATTTATCCAGCCAGAATGCTCTACATAAAAAACATTTTTTTTCGAGAAAATATATCGACCTATAATCGATAATGTAAAAAGTTCTTGGGAACAAAACATGCCAAAACTAATGCAGATTCGGAAATAGGGCTTATTAGTCCCGTAGGAGCTAAAAAGTTTTTGGATAAACTCATGGCGGGGCATAAGAACTAGCAACAATTAAATTTTAAATAAATGTAGGTCTAGTTGTCGAAAAATGTTTCATGTCTCTGGATTTTCGAGATGGAATAGCATTTTGGCATAAATATTCATCTGTCGAAAACTATTCCAGTTAAATTTGATTGAATCCATTTTCATATATATTTCTCAATTTTAACTTTATATAAAAGTAAAACTATTAACCATCCAATAGGATAGTTTAATTTATTGACAAAAAATAATTGGCTTCATTCCAGAGAGTGGGTCACACTTCTATCAATGAATCCGTTTTTGATACTTGATATTTTCAAACCCCATTGGATTGGATTCAAATAATTCCAAACAATTTAAAGGCTAAGATTATATTTCATGGTTAATATTTATACGACTTCCTGTACTTCTTTAGCCCTTCTATATCCAGACTATAAACAACAATCTTTCAAAGAATTGGTCTAACGAATGTTTTCACTAATAGACTTGTAATAATGAGATTCGCTAACCAAAGCAAGGGCTGACCTTCACCTCTTCATGTAGATGATCCACTAGTGTCATGAGGAGACATCCTGCCGCAGTTCTCATCACAGCATTCTGGCAGGTCTGGATGTTCTTCCACTGCGTAACACTTATATTCGCAGACCACACTGGGACCGCATAGGTGACCACAGACCGGCCTATCACGTTTTAAGAGGTCAACATAGTCTCTTGTTATGTAAACTTAAATGCTGCTGACTAGAGCCTGGAGGATCTTGTACCTTCTTTTCATTCTCTCGCTCACGTCGCATATACCTTTGGCTTGCGCGGACGACTTGAACGTGCTTTCGAATGTGACGCCGAGGATCTTGGGGTAGTTTTTGGTCTAAATATATTTTCCCCGACCTGCTCATTCAGTTCAGTCCACATCTCCGCAGACCATGTAGTAAAGAGTGTGGCCGTTGTGGAAGTAGGTGGGAAGCTCCGCGAGACATATATCATCAACACCGGGGACGGACGCCATGATCGTATAATCATCCGCATACCTTACGAATACCTTACCGTCCGGAGGGCGAGGATTTCCGGTAAAGGTTAAACAGTTCCGAAGATATTATGATATTTCATGGTTAATATTTAAACGACTTTCTGGACTTCTTTAGTCTTTCTATATCCAGACTATAAACAACAATCTTTCAAAGAATGCGTCTAAGGACTGTTTTCACTAATAGACTTTGTAGGATTATAGGATTCACGCTAACCAAAGCAACTAACTGCAACACCGTAGTCGAGTTCACAATCTGAAGTCTTAGATCATTTTCATGAAATTAATAGATGGACTGAGGAAAAAACATTGTTTGTTTTCGGAAAATTAAGTAGCACCTTAATTTGTCCATACTCAATACGGCGAATTGGTATGCATTCTGGCTGGGTATCCCATTGAAAGCGGTTACCTTTGTTATCATTGTTATTAATAATTATTAGCGAAATCTTTTGGAATTTCTTTATACAAATATTTTTAAATTAAAATTTGGTTGGCTTTTTGAAAAAGTTGCGTTCAGTTTAATATTTTTTATAACCAAAAACAAGAAATTCCCCAAAAGAAACTACAAAACACGCTGTACGCAAATTAAAAATTAAACAAAAAACCGAAATTAAAAACTAAAAAAGAAATTAAAACTTTTTGGAAGTTAAAATGATAAGAAAAAATATGTATGATTTTATAAAGGCAAATAACATTTTTTTGGTGTTTTTGATAGACAATTTTAGAATGAAAAGAAAATTTAAAGAAAACCCAACAAAAAAACGAGCAATGTCAAATATAATTTTGTGTTCAAATAATACAGATTAACAAGGAGACAAAAATAATTGGTATTAAATTAAACAGTAGATGAATCAACAGCAAAATAAACCATTATTAGATAATATGTAGCTAATAAATACAATTCCTATACCCAAGGACAATGTGGCTATTGTCCTATTGGTCCTTCCAAACTACTCACAAATGTAGCGGAAAATTACTAAGATATTCAACACTCAGTCAAAGATCTATAATTAGCAGTAGCATGAAATAGAACTTTAAACAATTAGAATACAAATTTTGGTTTGCCCACTCTAAAAGGAGAATTGCAAAAAATGAGACAAAATTTCCACCACCATCAATAGAATATTTATGTTTTCCTATCAGAAAAAAAGACATTACAATTAATATCGATTTCAATTAAAGTCTAAAGTTTAAGAATCAAATATTTTATTTTTGTTATAAATTTTTAATTTTTTTCTTGTGGAATTATTTTTTAATAATTACTGAAAATACCACAAATTCTTTTTTTCTCACTCAATATTTCTTTTTTAGAATATTTCAAACACTAATGTGCTCTTATTTTAATTTTATTTTTCTAATTTATATTAAAATTAAGTGAATTTTTTATGTTAGTTTTAGGCATGTTAGCAAAAGAAAGATTCAATTATAACAAGATGCAACTAATTTTTAAATAATTAAATAAAAAGTGAATAAAAATCAAATTATATTTATATAAACAAGGAATATAAACAAAAAACACACAAACCACAATTTATTTTTGTTTTATTTTATTTCTATTATTATTTCCTTCTTATTGATATTGAGAAAAAGTGTTTTGGAGGAGGAAAAGGGTGTAAAATATATCTTGTCATTAGGGGAAAATGTTATGTTTAGAGGGACATCGAAAGCCACAATATATAATCGCTGCTCGAACATGTATTTCGGGCAGAACCCGATTGAAAAGAGTCAGATCGAACAAAGTAGTATGAGCTGCTACAACAACAACCACAATATATAATCGCTGCTGGGTATTGATTTGATTTGTAAAACCGTCGAAGAAGTGCAGCATATAATGTGAACTTGTACCACATTTCGAGCCCAATACGAATTGAGGCGGCTGCACCATCCATCAGTTGTGACAAAACTACTCTGGTTTGTCGCGGCAGTTCTCGTTCTTCAGCAGCAGCAATGGGAGGAGGATGTGAGTTTAAAGTTAAAAGATGAAAACAGTAAATGCATGGAAAAATCGGGTATATTTTACTCGTACTTTACTAGTATCGTGTGGAGAGATTTATATTTAGGCTTGGGTCCCAATTCTGTCACATTTTCAGGATTTCAAATAGAAATGAAAAATGTAACAAATCACTTTCCAAGCTTTAAAGATTTCGGAAATACTTGGTAATATTGGGTGTATTTTACTCGATGTGGTATCATGTAAGGCGGCAGGACAGATTTGTTACATATGGACATATCAGCTCAGATCTCACTCCTTCACACTTTTCAAGGATTTCGGACAGAAATAAAGAACGAAAAGTCGAACAAATCACTTTCCCAGTTTTAAGGATTTAGATCGTCGTCAGCTCCAGCTACAGACTTGATAGTCACCATAAATTTAATTAAATTTTGACACTTTTCTCCTGAACTAGAAGAAAACCGGTCTTTTAATTTTAATCTGTTTTTAATACTTGTTTATTCTTTTAAATATTTATTGATGGTGGTGGAGATTTTGTTTACTCTTTGCAACAAATATGAAAGAACACTACTAAATTTATTGAAATATCACATAATAGAGCAATAGAATTAATAAAAAAAGCATTATTAACAAAGATATTGGAATATTTTTCTAAGACGCCTAAAAGTATGCAATATATTTCAACAGTAGCTATATCACAAAACATTGAATTAAACTTTAACCTCTTAGCATTGAATAGAAAAACAAATTTGCAAAAGTTTAAATGAAAACATTATTTGAAAAGAATAGCGACCCAGTTTTATGTTGAAAATTTTAGAAGAATTAAATGTTATTTGTTTGTTTTTAATTTCAATGCACTTAACAACATATTTTCAACACTTTTTAACTACCGAGCCATTAACAAATGAATTTATTGATACAAAAAGAAAGGAAAAAACAAATGAATCAGACTCATTCCATACCAGAAATCATCGAATTGTCCAAATAAATTACAAAAAATACAAGAAAAAACAACAACAAAAACCCTCCCTGTAAACGTTCATTTGAATTTAAACATTTGTTTAAACGAAAAAATATATGAAATTCTTTAAAAAACCAAAAAAAAACTTGTGTAAATAGAACAACACCATTTTAACGTTAGAGTTTTTCATCATACATTCATGCATACATATATGACACTTTTTTACCGTCCCTTTTTTGTAAAAAAAAACAACAACAATTTACTTATATTTATGAAAATTTCTGTTATACATAACAATAAAAAACAAAAAATGAACAACAATTAAAAATTGTGATAAAACACAAGAAAGAAGCATAAAAATGACAAACGGAACAGTTTTATGATATACAGGATTAATAACACAAACACATGCAATTTTATCGCAAAAAATATGGAGTTGCACTTGTTTGTGAAAAGAATGGGAGGGTAACTCTTAAACATGCATTGTTAAGGCTATGCGATATTATCAATCAAAATTATATTGAGATCAATTTGGCATTTCACCAGAGATTCAAAATGACAGATTTCCTTATTTCAACATACACTTATGTCTTTCTCGATAAACTTGAATCAAGTCTAGACTCTAGACTATTGGAATACTTTTGACTACACACCTTCCGTATTCTTTTCACAAACAATTCCATCTCAACATAAAATAACTACAAAAACAATAACAACAAAAACCAAACGATAACATATTGATAACTGATACCTTATTAGAATTCTAAACTAAAAATTAAATAAATAACTCTACATATACATGAATGAATGAAAAAAAAAATAGTACTATACAACTAAAAACAAAACATAACCCCAAAATTTTTTAAAGTGAAATTTCAAATAAACTGAACTTTGGACATCCAAAATAAACTAAATAAATATAGAATAAAAAACAAACATCTGGATATTTGTAAATTAAAACTAACCTCCCTCCTGCCCCCCATTTCCTCTAATTGTGAATATAAATAAAAATGGTTAAAATACAAATAACGAAACTAACAATGTTAAATGAAGTAATTTTTAATAATCAATGAAAAAGAACTACAACAACATTCAAATAATAATATTTAATTGGGAAAAACAAACAAAAGTAAAATTAAAAACAAAAAAAAAAAAAAAAAACGAAACCATAACAACAAAAATATGAATATTATTGTCTAATGGGATATTGAATAAAGAACAATATGAGATAACACTAATGGTTGTTTTACTGTACTCGGTGTTGCATTTCTTTCGCCAAAAAAAAAAAAACAACTTTTTAAACCCTCAGCCATATGACTACAGAGGGTATATATCTTTTGATACGGACAAAACTTGACATATAGGGACTTTAATGCCTCATAATATTAATAAGGGTTTTAGACTAAATCTAGTCGATCTAGGGGTGCGCGTTCGTCAGTCTGTCTGGCTGATGCGAACGGTAACTCTTGAAGGGAGTATCCGATTTGGTCCAAAGTTGGTACATCGTAATATTATTGTCAAACTTTGATCGAGTTCGGAGATGGGATACATTGGTACACTCATTCTGGTACTTCCCCCACAAAAGGTCAAAATTTTTAAAGAATATCGGTTACCTTGTACAAAGTGAAAGAACCATTCGATTTTGTACAAACTTTACAAACCCCAATATTTTTGTCAGTGCTAAGATAAGAGAGTACCTCCACCACAAAGGGTCAAAATTTGGAATAATTATAACTCTTATATAATTTAAAATCAAGGTCTGGTTTTCTTCAAATTTCACACATACCAATATCTGACATAAGATCTGATGTGAAGATGGAATATATCGATCCAATCCTTCTTATACTTGCTTCAGTATCGTCGCGTCCGAAGTGGACAACTTTTGAGAAAAGAGAAAACTTAAATTTCGGTCGAGATCCTGCAAAGAGTTGTTAGTTCATATGGTTCAGACCAGAGACATGGTTCTCCAATGGAGATTGATCTGAATAACCCTGATTATTGGTCCTCCAGTAAGAGGGCCCCTTGGGAGTCCTTCTTCTTTGTTGCAGCTCCTTCGTCTGTGTTTGGGCTTTGGGTTCCCCTATATATTTTCGATCGTGCTGTTCATGCTCATTTTGGCCGCCCCATTTTTAATGACGACAGCCATGCCCCTTGTCATTGAGAGGTCGTCTAGGTTCACTACAAGGAGAGTACCACCCTCCCTCCCCCGCTGTGGAAGACCGCCCACCTCTGCTGCGGTCCAAACACTTCAAGCACGTGTTTTGTCTCGAACCTGCGACTCCATCCTTTGACGAAAAACAGTTGCCTTCGTCAGGCGAGGGGCTTCTTCTTCCTTACCAAACTTAATTGTGCTACTTCACATGGAGGTGTTATACCCTCAAGCAGCTTCCCGAAGACTTTAAAGTTTGCTGCGAAACAAAGTCAATCCATAATATATCGCATTTTATCTCGCAGTTCATTAGGTATATTTGATCACCTCCTGGTCGGAGGTATCCAATATCTTTTTGTTGACCTGGTCTTCTACGGTCTTCAGGTGTTTTTTTTTGCTGCTGACCCACAAACCACGTCGATTACTGCATAGCATAGCTTATCCCTAAAGCGCTTTTTGGCAACTTTAGAAAAAGATGGCGACTCCTTTTCATGTTCTGCGGCACTCCTCTGCGTCGGGACGTCGGGACCTTTGCTGGGACTACGAGTTTCGCTTCAGAGTCTATGACCACACTAGTCTTGTTCATACTGTGGCTTCCTTTGTCATTCCCTGTCTTTGGCTCCTTTCCGTCACGATTTCCAGGTACCTGACCAGATTTGCTCGCAGCACTGACAGGAAAAAGGGTTCTGAATTTTTTGGGGATCTTCCTGCCTTAAAGCCTCGGTCTTCCTTCGCATACGCCTTTACGCCCTATATATTTGATCTCCTCCTGGTCGGAGGTGTTCCAATATCTTTTTGTTGACCTGGTCTTCTACGGTCTTCAGGTGTTTTTTTATGCTGTGGACCCACAAACAAAGATAAAAACTTGATTCGAACTCCGAGTCAGAGTTGCCACCTTTCTCTGAAGGCCCGGTGAGATTAAGCCTGACCGGAGCTTCTCCTTTTTGTCCTCCTTATATTTGCCCGTAGCTTTACCTCCTGCTACAGATGCCAAGGCACCTACATCAGTAGGAGGTTGCTTAAGATCGCTGGATGACGACGGTCCTGGCGGTTTTAATTGTGTTATTTAGGCCCTACACCGTAACTTCTTTTCTTTCCCTCTTCCATACTTGTTTTTACACCCTCCACCATTCTATGGAGGGTATATTAACTTTGTCATTCCGTTTGTAACTCCTCGAAATACTTATGTCAGAACCAGCAAAGTATATATATGCTTGATCAGCTCAAAATTCTTAGCGATTTAGCGATGTCCGTCTGTTGTAATCACGCTTTCTTTTGAACAAATTGTGATGGAAGGTTAAAATTTTACACACATGTGTATTTTGCCAGTAGGCATATTAAGTTCGTAAATTGGTCATGTAGATCCATGTTTTCGTATAGCCAACATAGAACGATACCTCTCGATATTCGGTATTTTGATGATTTTAGCGACGTTATTCGACGGAATTGTTTCATACTTCGTATTTGAAGGACCGAATGTGTACTACAGCCTATGAGAAAAATTGGGTATGCAGGTCCTCGTTTTCGTATAGAGCCCATGCAACAGTTTTCATTTAAACAGTATTCTTCGCCAAAATGTTTAAAGTCTTTCAATTTCCTTTCAAATGGTGGAGTAAATACACTCCGGGCTGAACTAAGATGCTCTTTCGTTCCATGTTTCAACCTGGCGAAGGCTGGCAACAGGAAGAAATATCGAAAAATTGGAAATGTGAAGGACCCAAGAATCCATTGGTGCCAGGTAAGTAAGAATACGTTATGTTGTCTTTTTTTGAATTTCGCTATAAGATAAAATCAACAAGAGCATCAGCCACCAGCTGTGAGACACTTAAGAAAATATTAACAAGTAAAAAAGGTAGTCAACCAGTCCTTTTCCAAATTCGAATCTACCAAGAGAGGTGGCTCAGTATATCTCGGTATACTGGTGTGGCCACCTACCCTCCTAATATCCGCCACTCGAGGAATCGTCTTGTAGGAAAACTCCGTCGGGAGTTATCAGTCTCCCAAGTAAATAGCTTACAAATTATGTTATTTTTGTTGGTTTTATTCTAACTCTAAATCAATGTTAAGCCAAAAGAAAAGTGATGATTTATAGCCACAATAACAATGTTTTATTACTATTTCCTCTCAACAAGTTCACTACTACTAAGAAGTCAAGATTAACAGATACATATGTAAATACATAGATTGTTCTTTCCAATAACTTAAAAATGCAATTTTATATTTCGTGTACAATACTTCTAAATCAAAGACAGCTTTTCGACACGAGCCAATAGCGGTGAATCCGAATGATATTCAATGCTGCGCACTTGGAAATCTCCCACCTGATTAGTTAGGCATTTCAAGGTGGAAATTGAGAAACACCGCACCGGATAGTTGTAGTAGGTAAAGTACTGTCCATTTACAGCTATGATAAATGCTTTGTCGCCGATGCCAAAGGCAATTTTAAATAATTTGCCACGTTGGAAGGGAAATTCGCCCTCAGTCTCTTCATCGTCCGTAGAATAGCTGCCAAGAGAGAGGGAGAGAGAATACGTTTTTGTTTATTTTCAAATTTAAATACCATATTGCTAAGCTTACCTGCAATCATCTCTCTGATAACTGCGTACCACCGTGGTCGTGTTGAAATTCACATGGAACTTCAATATCACTCGACCAGTGTCATTGCACTGGAAACATATGGAAAACTCGGTGGTTGGTGGTCCTTTGGCAATGCACTCCATGGCAACCACAGTTCCTGAAAAATGGAGATGCATAACCATTTTCATAAGGAAAATGATCTCTTTCACACTTCTTACCAGCTTCATATTTCCGCGGCACATCACTTTGAAATGCCAACTTTTCGGTACAAATCAAACCTTTGGGAAAGACCAGCGGGAATAACATGCGATGATGGAACTGCGTTATCTTCTCAAAGTCGCCATAGATCATGACATATTGAATTTGTTTTGGAAACTTAACAAATTCAAATGTCCCATAGATATTGTCGTTTACATAAATTTCGAAACATTTCTGCAGGACAGCGATGCGAAATGTAAATGTTTGACCTATGGGGAAAAAAGAAAGAGCTGCTGATCAAAAGGCAACACACGTCACTTATTCATAGTTACTACATATTTTTTTCGAAAATTATCAATACCGAAAAGTTTGGGATACCGTAGTTATTTATTTGGTTTTTGCAAAATAGTTGAGATTAATCCCATAATTGTTTGTTATCAATATTTTCTTAAGTGTCCCACATCTGGATGCTGATGCTCTTGTTGATTTTATCTTATAGCGAAATTCAAAAAAATACAACATAACGTATTCTTATTTACCTGGCACCAATGGATTCTTGGGTCCTTCACATTTCCAATTTTTCGATATTTCTTCCTGTTGCCAGCCTTCGCCAGGTTGAAACATGGAACGTATTATTTGATTTTCTCGAAAATTCGCTTCGAGTTTTAAATAAACCGTTTCGCTTTCATTTTTGACATTGATGTTATCGGTTAAATCCAATGAGATTCTAGGAGAAAAAAGTAAAAACACATTAAGGTCGCCCGGGCCAAACTTTTAATACCCTCCATTTTAGGGTAAAGGAAACATTAGAAGAATGTGCTCTACGTCAAATAAAGTGGGCTGTATCGTGATTTCAACAGCCAGACAGACGGACATCATTAAATCGACTTAGAATTTTACGCTGATTATGAATATATATACACTATGGGGAAACGGAATGACAAAGTTAATATACCCTCCTTTCCAAGGTGGAGGGTATAAAAACACAGTGGAGTTTTAAATAGAAGAAAAATTAATATTACTTTTTGAGCAATAAAAATGAGAATCATTAATTGAGATAAATATTTTCATGTATGAACCGGCCAAAAACGAGCTTTCCTATTAGCAGTTAAATTTTATAAACGGGCTGTGCTAGTTACTCAAAGTCATATCCGCTGCCCTAAATTATAAGCAATTTTTTGAATTGCTGGGATGTACACTTTAATTATTTAAATAGACGATTTAAAGGATATTTTTTGTAAAGTTTTTTATAATATAGGTCCGTTCCAAAATGTGGAAGAAACTACTGCTTTCATTACTTAACAAATTTTAACAAGTAACAAGTAAAAACGCAGAGTATCGGGAGGTACCGTCATACGGGGGCTATACGAAGACGTGGACCTGCATACAAAAATTGTTGTCATAGGCTGTAGTACCCATTACGAACTTCAAATACGAAATTTAAAATAATTCCGGTAAATAATGTCGCTAAAATCATATTTTCTCTTAACCAAAAATCGGATATAAATTTATAATTTATCGAAATTTATGATTTCGCATAAAATTGGATATAAATGTTCGATGTCTTTCAACTTTTGCACATAGCAATATTTTTATCTGCATTAAATGAAGTATGAAAATGAAATATTTCGATCCGCTATATCTATTACCTCACACATATTTCCAAAAATTTGCACATATATATTAGTAGAGTAGAAAAAAAAAAATGAAAAATCATAACTCAAGGCTGGGGTTATACATCTGTCGACAAAAGGGACTGATATTTTTTTACTTGTCAAAGTTTCTTTCAAATTGCGGAGGCAAAATGGTGAATTTCAAATAGAATATTGTGAATATTAAACATAATTCTGAATAACAAATATTTGGAAAAATTCAAATAAAATATTCTGAAATTTAAATTAAATTTATAATTATGAGCATTATCATATCTTAATATTTTCGAATTTCAAATGAAACATCTGAATTTCAAATATAATTTGGGAATTTCAAGTAAAAGAACTGGAATTCTAATAGAAGTTCCAAAAAATATCTAAATTACAAATGGAATTTCTGAAGTACAATTTTTATACCCTACACCACAAGGTGGTCAGGGTATTATGTCTTTGTGCATTTGTTCGGCCCAAGAACGAACCCTATTGAAATTGGAGATAATAGGTAAAAATTTAGATATAGCTCCCATATATATCTTCGTCCGATTTACCTTCTATTGTGCGCCAAACATGTATTATCAGCCCAAATAGCATGGGATTGTGCACATACGACCAGATTAGGCCTGAAAATAAGTATGCCAAATTTTATCGAAAACAGTTCAGATGTAGCTATGGTTTATCCGATTTGTTATTTTTGTCATCCACAGCCATAATATGTGACAACGATATTTAGGGACATATATCAAATACAACTCAGAAATACTTTAGCTGAATTTTATTTACATCTGTTCAGATTTCTATATAGCTCTCACATATATCTCCTTCCGATTCACACTTTATTGTGCAACAAACTTACATTTGTCGTAATGGGATAGAATTTGGCACTTGCGACCCAACTGAGTCTAGAAGCTAGTATCTTTTGTTAGTGGAAATAATGGGATGTGTGAAATTTAAAGAGAACCGGATGTTTATTTGGGATTTTATAAACGTTATGGTTATTCAAAACTTTGACCTTTTGTGGGGGAGGTACCAGAAGAAATGCACCGATATATTCCATCTTAACACCAGATCTCATAAAAATATTGAGATCTGTGGAATTTTAAGACAATCGGATTCTGACCTAGAACTGACACAAATATTAGGATTTGCAAAATTGCAGCGAATTCGGATTATTGCTTTTTGAACATATATATATATATATATTTTTTTTTTTTTGAAATTTCGACCTTTTGTTGGGGAGGTATCAGAAGGAGTGGACCGATGTATCCCATCTGGGCACCAGACCTTAGGATAATTAAAATATTGTGATGTGTGCAATTTAAAGATAATCGGACTCTTACATGAAATTTTATACGAGTTATAATTATTCAAAATTTTGACATTTGGTGGGGGAGGTAGGAGTGGATTGATATTTTCGCACCTGACCTAGCACTGGTGGAAACATTAGGATTTGGAAATAGTTCCGATATATAACTTCGACCGATTTACCTTTTATTGTGCACCAAACGTCTAATATTTGTCGACATGGGATAGAATTTGGCACTGACGACCGAATTGAGTTTAGAAGCTAGTATGTATGTTCCATATGCACTCTGTAACAACAATATTTGGGAAAATATATCAAATACATCTCAAAAATACTTGTGCTAAATTTTATCGAGATCGGTTCGGATTTGGATATATCTCCCATACATAACTTCGTCCGATTTACCTTTTTTGTGCACCAAACGTCTAATATTTGCCCAAATGGGATGAAATTTGGCACTTACAACCGAATTGAGTCTAGAAGCTAGTCAAATGAATGTCAAATTTGGTGAAGATCGGTTCAGATATTGCTATAGCTCCCATATATATTGTTCATCCGATTTGTTATATTTGTTACCCACAGCCGTAATATGCACTCCGTAACAACGATATTCAGGGAAATATATTAAATACAGCTCAGAAATATCTTTGCCAAATTTTATCGAGATCAGTTCCGATTTGGATATAGCTCCCATATATATCTTTATCCGATTTCAAATTAATTGTGCACCAAATGGGCAATACAAGTCCGAATTAAAAAGATACAAATGCTTCGGCATATTTAGTCCTGTGAACTTTAAATTATAATTATAATCATAGTGTGTACGATTGAATTCTCCCATAAAAACGTTTCACTGTTATGCGGAGCTCTACTAAATTAGCAAAGTGGTGTAGGGTATCATAAAGTCGGGTCCACCCGACTTTAACACTTTCTTTACTGGTTTCTAAGTTGAAAATTATTAAATTTTCTATATATTTTTCTATACATTCTTAATTATATCATTTTATTACTTAAGTTCTATTTTGTTGAGAGCTGAAATATTTCTTCAAATTATCTTGACCTTCAAAATATTGGCTTGGGTTAATGTATTATTTTGTTTTGTTGCACATTTTTTATTATACAATTTGCAGTTTAGAAAGTTTTCAGTAGAGTTTTACAATTTTTCACAATAAAATCCTGGCTTGGTCCAAGAAACCACACTGAATTTTATTATATCAATAAATAAAATTTAAATATTGTTTTGGTTTTTTTTATTATTCGTACTTGTTTGGATTTGGTTTCACAATGCCACTGAAGACCAAAACATGCCCGAACGGTACATCGGTTAAAACTTTGCCCTTCCAGATGTTCATTTCGCCGCGAACGTTTAAATGCAACTGATTGCCGTTGATTGCCGAGAACCGTTCAAATTATGTCTGATTATAATTTCGTTTCGGATTTTTGCTTTATGTACGATTAGAGTCGTTTTGTGGATGTTCAAATATCCTTGTTAATGTTTATGTCAAATCATTTGATGGTTATGCAAAAGAAAAGAAGTAACAAAAACAACTATTAAATATTGTTCGCCACTTAAGAATGTGTGGTGGGAGGGAGAAAAAGTTGTGACGTTAAGGTTTAAATACCTATGGGAGCAACAGTGGGTATGAACAACGACAAATTGTGTGAGGGGCCTTAGTTTCCGATTTTGAGCTTCATGTCTTAGGATACAACACTCCATTGTGGTATATTTTTAATTATATTACCTTCTAAATAGACAAACGAATATATTCAGATTTTATATTTTCGGGCAGAGTTGGAAGTTCAATTATCAAATTTTTAATAACCAGGATTCATCTTCTCTAGCATTAAGACGAATTTTAGTGTCGCAGAAGCTACAGATCAAGCATTAATTACTTTTTAAATATATCTTACAATTTCCTAAAAATATATATTCGGATGTATGGCAGAATTGAAATTTTCGAAATTAAAAAAAAAATGTGCTTAATTTATGGCAACCTGTTGGTTTATTTTTCCGCAATGTCTCTTAACGTTTTTGAAAAAAATAGTATTTTTTTGAAAATATTGTGGTAAATTCTGTAACAATGGGATACTACTATTGTTACACAAGCTAATGTTTAGTATTATATTTTCAAAGATTTAATATGTTTCCACTATTTACCTGCACTGGCCCACAGTCACCCCACCAAGAAGTTTCCATACATTTAATGTAAATTCAATCCTTTTTTTTCCATATTTTCCTTGAGTTTGATATCCATAAATGTTGTAGTTTTGTTGTTTCATGGGCAAACGACAAAATAACTTCAGGACAAACTTGTTGTTATTTTCTGTTGACTAACCAACCAACCAGCCAACAACAACAAACCAATCAGCCAAACAACCCAACCATCCAGACATCTTTCGTTCATAAGTCATTTCAATTCCACAAGACTGTTGCGTGTATTCTGTGGCCCTACCCGTGTCAAGAAATCCAAACACAAAACTTGGCAAGGAAAAGGCCAGAAAAAAGAAAACATTTGTATTTTCCATAAAGTTGAAAGAAAAGGTTGTAAATTGAATTCTGCCCATGATACGAGGACATGAAATAAATAGTGGAACCAATATATTTAAAAATTTTCCAAAAATATCTCAATCATGTAAATATCGTTTACAATATTGACCATATCAAATACGAAAATCTTGTCGATTATTATCTAAAAACAAATCGATCATACGAGCATTGCCTCCGAACGCTCTTTTAAAGAAGTGCACATATATTTAAATTTTCTCAGCTTCTTAGCCACCTGAAATTATTATACTTTCACCCGTATGGCTACAGAAGGTATATAGCATTTGATATGGCTAAAACGTGCCTCATCGAAATAACGATTTTTGGACCCTAGGCCTTTTTGGACCAAATCCGTTTCGATCTAGTGGCGTCCGTCCGCCTCTCTGTCTGGCTGGTGAGCACGATAACTCTCGAAGGGAGTATCCGATTTGATCCAAACTTAGTACATCATAATATTGTTGTCAAACTTAGATCGAGTTCAGAGAAGGGCATTATTGGACCACTCCTTCTGGTACCTCCTCTACAAAATGTCAACATTTTCATAGAAAATAATTTACTGCACAGAAAGGGAAAAAACAATCCAATTTTGCTCGAACTTTGCAAATCCTAATATTTGCATTAGTGCTAAGTCTGATGCGAATATCGGTCCACTTCATCCAGTACTTCCCCGATAAAGGGTAAAAATTTTAAATATCCACGAAATTAACATCCGATTCCATTCAGATTAGGTACAGCACAATATTTCCACCAACACAAGATCTGTTATAAATATGGTACAGATCGGAACTTTCCTTCTTGTACCTCCCCCACAAAGGGTCCAAGTTTCGAATAACCAAAACGATTATTAAATCCAAAATAAGCATCCGGTTCTCTTCATATTTCACACATCCCATTATTTTTAGTAACACAAGATCTGCTGTGAAGGTGGGATATATCGATTCACTCTTTCTGGTACCTCCACATTTTTGCTAACGCGGGATGTAAAGATGATATATATCTGCGAACCTCTTTTGGTACCTAACCCACAAAAAGTCACAATTTTCAATGCTTTTATCTGTCAGAATTTGCGAAAGAAGTCGGCGATTCTTTACACCTTGCTATATCTAAATACTTCTTTTTACCAGAAATCTGATATGAATATATAATTTATCGAAATCTATTATTTCGCATAAAATTGGATATAAATGTTCGACTTCCTTCAAATTTTGTACACACCAATATTTTTATCTGCATTAGATGAAGTATAAAAATGGAAATTTCGGTCCGCTATATCTCTAAATTCACGCATATTTCACATTTTCTAAGGATTTGCATATCTCATATAAAATATAGGGAGTAGTCGATATAGTCCAAATCTGCACGTTGTAATATTTATATCAGTCTTAGGTCAGTTACGAATTGGTCAATATTGGCCAACTTCGGAACCTCCCCCATTAAGGGTCAACAGTTTGAATGATCATAAGTCAGGCTGGGGGTACACATCTGTCGGCAAAACCGACTGATATTATTTTACTTGTTTAAATTCACTTCCTTTATTTCTGATACTTCCCATGCACCCCTCGTCCTTATCACTCTATCATCGGGCACATCCCTTCCAACACCAGCAAAATGAAACAGGTGGAATAACACGTGCATAAAAACCAACTTTGATTGCATGTCCTGTCATTAGTTTAGCTTTCTCAAAATTTCCTCCCCTCCCTACAAAATAATATTTTAAGATTCCAAATTTGAACTTACATTCGTTTTCTATTTTTGTTTATTTTTTCCATGCAATGTGGAGGACACTTAATGCCACAGTCGATTGGTGTCTCAAGAAAGTCTTTGAAGACTATATGTTTTAATAAAAAAAAGTACACCAATGCGGGTAATGGGGTGGAGTCAGTTTTGATTTGTATAGATTTTTATATTTAAGCTATAAATTAAACATGCTATCGGTTTGCCAGCCAATAGTCGGAGCTGCGAATTCTCCACAAAACGTAAGTAGCTCTTAAATTCACGGACATGTATTGATGCATAAACTTTGGATCAATTAAAAGTAGAAGTATTTACAGTGATTTTAAAATGGTGATAATGTGTTAGAGGGGTTCCAGAAGAAATTCGACCATGTATTCCATCGTGACAAGATCTATGTTAAATTATAAATTTTGCTATTGATGCCTTATAATTCTTTAGAGTACCCGCCAAAGCTTGAAAAAACATAATAAGAAACTCAATACTGGGATGATAACGATGTGCAAAGTTTGAACTTCGATTTGGACTCCCTTCGGATCATATGGCATTCAATTTTTTACACCCTACACCACAAGGTGGCCAGGGTATTATGTCTTTGTGTATTTGTTTGTTACAGGCAAAAGGAAACGAGATAGACCCATGAAGATCTTTGAAGATCTGCATAGAATCACATTCTGAGTCGATATATGTATGTCCGTCCGTTCGTCTGTCCATGTATTTTTGTAAACAAAGTACAGGCCGCATTTATTGGCCGATCCAGATGAAAATTTTCACAAATCATTTTTGTTTGACCCAAGGACGAACCTTATTGAAATTGGAGTCAACATTTAGATATAGCGCTCATATATTTTTTCGTCCGATTTGCTTTTTTGTGCACCAAACGTGTAATATCAGCCCAAATAATATGGAATTTTGCACGTATGACCAAATTAGGCCTAAAAATAAGTATGCCAAATTTTATCGAAATCTGTTCAGATTTGTATAAAGTTCCCATACATATCTTCGTTCGATTTGCTTTTTATTGTGCACCAAACGTGTAATATTAGCTCATATGGGATGGAATTTGGCACTCACGACCAAATTGAGCCTAGAAGCAAGTATGCCGAATTTTAATCGGTTCAGATATAGCTATAGCTCCCATATATATTTTTCATCCGATTTGTTATATTTGTTACCCACAGCCGTAATATGCACTCCGTAACAACAATATTTGGGGAAATATATCAAATATATATCGATCGAGATTGGTTCAGATTTGGATATAGCTTCCATATATATCTTTATCCGATTTCAAGTTAATTGTGCACCAAAAGGACAATACAAGCCCGAATTGAGAAGATACAAATGCTTCGGCATATTTAGCCCTTTGAACTTTAAATAATAATTATAATCATAGCGTGTATGATTTAACTCTCCCATAACAAGTGAAATAGTATCAGTCGGTTTTGCCGACAGATGTATATCCTCAGCCTTGAGTTACGAACGTGACAGATTTGGACTATATCGACTACTTCTTGTACTTTATATGAGGTATGTGCACCTTTTCGGAAATTGGAAATATGCGTCAGGTAACAGATACAGCGGACCGAAGTATTCCATTTTCACACTTCATCTAATACAGATAAAATACATCATCCTAGTCTGAATAGAATCGGATGATAATTTTGCGTTTTATGAGCTTCATGAATACTCATAATTTTGACCTTTTGCGGGGGAGGTACCAGAAGGAGTGGACTGATATATCCTATCTTCACACCAGATCTTGAGTTAGTAGAAATAATAGGACGTGTGTAATATGAAGAGAACTGGATGTTTATTTCGGATTCTTTGGAATGGAATCGTGTTCAAGTGTTTTAAGAGCGTGATGAATATTCAAAATTTCGACCTTTTGTGGGGGAGGTACTTGATGGAGTGGGCCTATATTATCCATTTTTGCACCTGACCTAGAACTGACGTAAATATCAGGATTTGCAAAGTTGGAACAAAATCGGATTATCGATTCTCTTTCTGTGCAGAAAATATTTTTTTATATATTTTTTTATATATTTTATTTTTTTGAAAATCTTGATCATTTGTGTGGGAGGTACCAGAAGGAGTGGTACCTGGGTTAATATAAATATTGAGATGTGTGAGATTTGAAGACAATCGGACTCTTATATCACATTTTATGAGAGTTGTAATTATTTA